AGCCCCACCCCCCTGTCTTCCTAAGAAACAAGACTAGATTCACCAAACTATCTAAAACCTGCTACGACGCAGTCATTAAGTATGACCACGCCAGCAACCTCGGGGAGACTATAAAAATCATCCCCAATTCAATCGATGACTTTCGTGAACTGACCGGGCTATTCACAGCCGAACGAGTCTCGTATCATACTTACGCTCTTCCGGAAGAGCGTAAACTCAGGGCCGTCATCCGAGGCGTCCCCTTCGAATTCTCCAACGAGGAAATCCTTGAGGACCTTAAGTCCCAAGGTTTCCCCCGTAGAAGCCGTGCACAAAATGCATAGCAGAACGGGCAAAAGGTTCTATCTTGCCCTAGTCATTTTAACAAACGTGCCGGACGCAAAAGCCATCTTCCGGCAGGTACGCACAGCCTGTCGAGAGTGAGGGTTGAGCCCCCACATAGGCGCGGATTTCTGGCACAGTGCCACCGCTGCCAGCTATATGGTCATGCGGCGGCCAACTGCTCCGCCACACCCAGGTGCGTTAAGTGCCTTGAACCCCACAACATCAAAGAGTGTCCTCGGCCCAAAGACGCCGAATCCCCACCCGCATGTGTCCTGTGTAAACAAACAGGCCACCCGGCAAACTACAGAGGCTGCCCTTGCGCACCTCATCCTCGCCCCAGTAGACAAGCTCCACCGCCGGTCAATGACCGCTCATTCCCGGCTCTCTACCAAGGGCCCCGTCAGGGCCTTTCTCAGCCCATCCAGGGCTTCTCTCGGCCCTCTCAGGGTCCCCCTAGGCCCCTCAGGGCATTATTCGGCCCCCTCCGGGCTTAATAAGGCAGACCCACCGCGGACAACCTCCGCCCCACAACAACAACAATCACAGCCCTCAATTGAAGACCTAAAAACGTTGTATTCCGCTATTAGTAAGTTCCGCTCTTACAGAGCATCATAATCTTTTGTGCTCGTTGTAAGTTAAGTTAACTTAATTAACTTAACTTCGCAATGACAGAGCAGTTTGCTCTACCAAAGTCTCACGGTTGTATCAAACCTAAGGGTTTATCGCTTATATCCTTTAATATTTGCGGTTTGCGAAATAACCTCCCAGAGCTTAAGCTCTTTCTCCGAAATCGTGAAGCCGATTTCCTCCTCCTACAGGAAACTAATCTCAAAACTAACGACACTAAAGGCCTTTCTATTAAAACCTTCTCTCTTCTTCGTAATGACAGACCCGACCGCCGAGGCGGCGGAACGGCCATCTATTACGAGAAAACACTTCACTGCTCGCCCATTTCTACTCCGCAGCTCACCAACATGGAAGCCACGGTATGCAGGCTAGCTATGACTGGACATCAGTTCATCCTCATAGCCTCCTGTTACATCCCTTCAGAAACCCATCCCCCAAAAAAGATTTTGAGGCTATATTATCTTTAGGCAATTCAGTCATTATGTTTGGAGATTTTAACTCCAAGCATACTGAATGGACATGCCGTACTACCTCCCCTAGTGGCAAGATACTGCTCGATATCACGTAGTCTCTTGATATTACCGTCCATAGCCCCCTCGGTGTTACTCACTCAATAAGTTAATCACGCCCCCGATGTACTAGATTTTGCGTTACTACAAGGAGTTTCTCTCAACCTCAGGGCAATCGAGGCACTAGACGATCTAGGATCCGATCACCGACCAGTCTCCCTCATTCTTGGCCATCAGCCGCCTCCCGCAACACACACGAAAACCTTCACTAATTGGAAGGGATTCAAGGAGTCCCTAGCTCTGGACTAACAGGAGTCTACCATCTCCCTACCGTCGGACTTAGACAGTCCCAAAAAAATCGACACCGCGGTCGATTCACTCTCCACCCTTATTAAATCCTCCCTTAAGGAGAACGAAAGGGTCGTCCCGGTTGCTAACAATAGTGGGCTTCCCCTACATATTAGCAACCTATTAAAAGCCAAGAAAGCTGCTTTCCGGAGAGCAGCAAAATATCCCACCCCCGAATATAGGCGCACGGCCAATCGTCTTCAACGAGAACTCCGTTTCCGCCTCTCTGTATTTCGAGACCTCGAAAAGAGTAAACTCATGGAGAATATCTCTCCATCTCATACAGCGTACTATCAGATGGCTAGAGCCCTTCGCATAGACGCTATCACCCACACTCCCCCTCTCTCCCGTCCCGACGGTACGGTTGCCTTCGAGGTCGAGTAAAAGGCCGAGTGCTTTGCAGATAGCATTGCCGCATAATGCTCTCCTAGCTCTCAACCCGTCGACCCCTCACACGTCCAGGCAGTAGAGGATGAGGTCCGCCGCCGGAACTCACCCCCTACAGCCTCCGAACCTATCTCTGTGTCCAATGATGAGACTTCATCCCTCATCAAAGGACTTAAGCCCAAAAAGGCTCCGGGCGCGGATGGCATTTCCAACCAAGCCCTAAAACACCTTCCTGAGCAGGTGTTAACCTTTGTATCTATTATCTTCAACGCCTGCTTCAACCTTAGTTACTTTCCCACTACGTGGAAAGAGGCAACTGTGATTGGTATTCCCAAGCCAGGCAAGCCTCTCAACCTCCCCTCCAGTCATCGCCCCATTAGCCTCCTCAAGGCCATGGGCAAGCTTTTCGAAAGAGTCATCCAAACTCGCATGAGGCGCCATCTGTTTCCCACAGACGGTGACCCTCTTATCATTCCCCATCAATTCGGTTTCCGAGCGAAACACTCATGTCCCCAACAAGTTCACCGTATTGTGGAATATATCCTCAGCGGTTTTTATCCTCGTCGTCATAAGACCATCGCGGTCTTTATCGACATAGCTAAAGCCTTTGATAGAGTCTGGCATACAGGCCTTATCTACAAGCTATACAAAAAAGGTCTCCCCGATCGTCTAGTACGTCTCGTGGCCTCTTATCTAAAGCATCGTACCTTTCGTTTTAGACACGAAGGCACGCTATCTTCACAGCGCCCTATCAAAGCTGGTGTCCCTCAGGGCTCAGTACTTGCTCCTCTGCTGTACATCCTGTTCACCAACGACATTCCCATCCCGTCGAAAGGTGTTCAGCTCTCCCCTCTTCGCAGACGACACTGCTATCTACTGTAAAGGTACCTCGCTACCTTTCATACGGAACAAGGTTCAAAAGTCAGTTGACGACCTAGGAGCTTGGTTCAAAAAATGGCGCATCGATGTGAACCCGGAGAAGAGCTCTGCCGTTCACTTCGATTATAAACGACGCCGTCTCAAAAACACTCCACCAATACGTATGCTAGGGACCCCTGTCCCCTGGCATACGTCTGCCAAATATTTAGGTGTCACTCTAGACACAAGGCTCACTTTCAGGCCCCACGTCAAAAGAGTAAAACGTCACGCACGTTTTTACCTGAGTAGGCTCAACAGTATGTTGGGCCGACACAGTAAAATGTCCCTCAGAAACAAGCGTACCCTTTTTAAGGTCTGTATACGACCAGTCATGTCCTACGCGGGCCCCATTTTTGCCCACGCCGACCCTAAAATTATTAATGAACTCCAAATAGTTCAAAACCTTTTCTGACGTCGAGCTGCGAACGCACCTTGGTACGTCCGTAATGCCGACCTTCATCGGGACCTAGAGCTCCCTACAATCCAACAATTTCTTAAAAAACTCTCTGAGAACTTCTTCAAAGCCTCAGAGTCGCACTCCAATCATCTTATTCGTGAGGCAGCTACTTATGCAGCCCCACCCCCCTCTCGCTATCGAGTCCGCAGGCCGAGAAACTCTCACTCGGACCCGCCTAATAAACTGACAAACGACCTGAACTGCCTCCTGGCGGCTCAGGCAAACTCTAATTAAATTAAATTATTCATAATTAATTTGCCTTCGTAGGCACTCCCTCAGCGGCTCGCCTGCGCCCACTTTTCCCAAAAGAGAGTCGCTTCCGATACGGCATAAGAAGCTTAAACAGCCAGTTGCCAGTCCCCAAAGGCGGTTTTTAGAGGGTATCACTTAGGTTCCCCCGGTAGGCAGTGAGTCCCTCATAACCACGATAGACCGGCTATCGTGGTATGCGTAATGCATTTTCCGCCTCCCTACATAAAGGGTAGCCCTTTCCAATTGCTTCGGGCGCAAAAAAAAGCCGTTAAAGCAGTCATAGCTCTGGCGTGGCAGGGTTCATTTGTTGTATCCCACTACTAGCTAATCCTAGACTATTCGGATAATTAATTCGTAGAACCGAAATAATTATTATTATCAGCTATTAAATTAGTCTCAGTACAATTTATAGTTTAGTACCTGTGATTCGTGTATTTTGTGATTGTAAATTAATTCTATTTAACTACCTTCTTATAAATATATTAATATCGAAGTTTATGTATGTTTAAATTTTATTTATGTTTATGGATTCATAAATACGGGCCTGTTTCTAGAATACCCATGCCACTTTAAAGACAATGCTCAGCCAACCAAAGACAATCCTATTTTGTTAATTTTTTACAACCATAGCAGCCATATCTTTCTAGATGCTATACTGTTTTGTCGTGATAATGGCATTCACATGATTACTCTCCCACCTCACAGTAGTTACAAGATGCAGCCCTTAGATCGTGGGTTTTTTGGGCCTCTGACAACAAAATTCGCTTACGCATGTGATAAATGGCTAAGCCACCATCCAGGCCGCGTGATTGGCCAAACCGAAATAGCTCAATTGCTGAATGAGGCCTTCCAAAAAGTAGCAACGCTTAGCAATGCTGTTTCAGGTTTCAAAGTTTCTGGAATCTGGCCAATAGACAGAGACATTTTTTCGGAGGAAGATTTCGCGGCAGCTTCTGATTGCTGACATGATTCCTGCCCAAAATTTAGAAGAGATGTTGCCAACTACAGCAGTACAGGAACCTTTACAAGAAGATTCAATTCCATAACGCGCACAGCATTTGACAAACTTAGCAGCATCCACCTCTTCTACACAGCCAACACAAGTTTTGGAAAGTGCAGGAACTTCACCTACGATATTACATAATCTTTCTAGATCAAGTCAACATGTGCAAGATCTGATGTTGACTACTGAGCACACATTGACATCACCAAATGCTGACAAGCAAACACAAGAAAACTTTTTAGAAATCTCCCAATCATGTTCAGCGACAAACACAACTGTAACCAGTCCAGCCACCACTGCATTTTTACCAACATGTGTAGCTTCTACCAGCACAGAATTCATACCATTGTCGTCTATACAAGCTGTGCCGAAAGCAACATCACAAAATCGACGACGAAAAGGCAAAAAGTCAATAATTGCTCCTGATAGTCCCTTTAAATCTGAATTAGAAACTAAGAACAAAGAGGAAGAAGAGAAATAATCTAAAAAGAAAATACGACTAGATTTAAAAGAAAGACTAAAAACTAAGAAAACTATAACAAAATCATCTGAGACTGCCAAAAAAAAGAATGTTAAAAATAAGACTCTTAAGAAACCAAAAAATAACGAAAATGAGTATTACTGCCCCTTATGTGGCGAAAAGTATTCTGATCCACCGACTGAAGACTGGATTGAATGTAGCTTTTGTGGAGCCTGGTGGCAAGAACAGTGCACCAGCTTTGAACACGGCACTTTTATTTGTGATACATGTATGACGAAGTAACTAATGATTTCTAAATTCAAATTGATCTCATATTTAGATTTAAGATGATTATTATGCTGATTACTTTAAGTACCTATGATGAAAATTTTAATAATTATATAATACTCTTTACGTTCTAAAAATATATAGCTCAATATATATTTTATTGTTGTTGCGTACACTTACCCACAGTGCTGCGTACACATACCCCTATACTGGGGTAAGTGTGCGCGTATGGAATGGTTTTTATTTTCAATAATTTCTTAAAATATAAGCTACTGACAATACTGTTATTGTGTCTAAAATGATTACAAATAAACAGTCTTACTAATTAACACAGTTTTATTTCATTCTACAAATTATTTTCGAGTTTTTGAAGCGTCAAAGTTTAAATGCGCACACTTGACCCACCTGACTCTAAGTGTTTCTTCGTAATGTAGCTTACCGGCATCCTACGTTTACAAATAAAGGTAAATTAAACAACAGAAGCTGTGTTTAATATGCTTGTTTCTAAAATCACTTTTACTGCCTATAAAGGGATCGATGGTATTAAATGTTTTGTTCTAATTTGATAGCAAACGTGTTGAGATACTATTTTTACCATAAAGTGTGGAATGACGAGGTATACTAAACAAAGTTTTCTTGGTGATTCTTGTACGTTTTCTTTGCACATTAAACGTGACAGTATTCAGTAAATCCGGGCAGTTAATACCATCGCATAAGATATCGTATAGAAATCCCATATCTAACCGTTTACGTTTTTCTTCAAGAGTAAGAAGGTTATAGTGTCGGCAGTCATCTAAATATGATGAGCTTTTATGTTTAAATTTATAGTTCAGGTGTGAGATGTGAGTTGAATTCTTTCAAGATTATTAATGTAAATTTTAAAAAATGGTGACCAAACCTGGCATGCATACTCAAGAGTGGATCTTACATACGAGAAATAAACTATTTTAAAACTTAGTAATTCCGTAACTGGAAGATATGTACGCATGACAAATCCAAGATTACGAAATGATTTACTCCATATACTATTGATATGATCTCGCATGGTCATACCGACATCAAAGAGTACGCCTAAATCCCGAACAACTGTGACCCTCTTAATTAAAATTCCATTAAAATTATAGGGGAATACTATTGCGTTAAGTTTTCTGGTGAAAGATATACATTGACATTTGGATATACTTACATTAATGCCGTTAGCTACGTAACAGTTGTATAAAGAGGTAAGATCCTTTTGAATTGATTCGCAGTCTTCAATAGTACGAACTTTGAGAAATATCTTTTTATCATCGGCGTAAAGTAAGTGATGGGAGTTACTTATAAATTTATGTATATCAAATATGTATGCGTTGTAGAAAAGAGGGCCAAGATGAGAGCCTTCAGGCACGCCAGATGGGATAGTAATAAAATCTGACCTGTAACCTCCAAGAACAACTGCCTGAGATCGATTCGTCAGATAAGACTTGACCCATCTAAGCAGATCCCCATGAATTCCGAGCGCCTGGAGCTTTTGTAGCAATACAACATGATTTACACGGTCAAAAGCTTTTTCGAAATCTGTGTATATAACGTCAACCTGACCACCATTTTCCATATTATTAAGAACGTACTGAGTGAAGCAGGCAAGATTAGATATTGTAGAACGTCTTTTCAAAAAACCATGTTGTGAATTAGGTATACCTTTTATAATAATTGGATAAATTTTATCAAATACTAGTTTTTCAAAAAAATTCGCAACAGTGCTAAGAATCGAAATTGGGCGGTAATGATCTATTTTAGTTTTGGTGCCTTTTTTTATGAACAGGAATTATATGCGCCCTTTTCCATGAGAATGGGAAAACAGAATTTTGCAGAGAAAGTTTAAAAGTACAGAGATTAGGTAACTTAAACTGTTGGCGCAAGACTTCAAGAAAACAGGAGGCACTCCATCAGTAGTTACGTTGTACCAGTTCTGGCGCACTTGTAGAAAGGTTGTACCAGTTCTGGCGCACGACGTTCGTCGACTCACAATCCTAAAAAAAAAAAAAAAAAAAAAAAAAAAAAAAAAAAAAAAAAAAAAAAAAAAAAGGTTTTGGCATGCTCTGATCACGAATCTGCGGTCCATTTTTGCGTAGGATGCACGGTTCCGGAGATGTGCAGATCAATTAACTCTTATCTAATTGATATCCGCTGCGAGCCTCAACCGTCATTAGCGCTCCATTGTCCTTATCTACTTATCTATTGTTGATTGACTACCGTCATTATCTATTATTCGTCCAGCGTGTGGGTCGGCTTATGCTATTGTATTATACTATCCTTTGTTCCTATCTACAACACTAATCTGAATCATCAATAAAACACATTACCTAAATTTGTTAAAATTTTTATTTATAAAATACAAAATCTTATAACTTATTATCTATAAAATAGGAGTGAAACATCTCATCCACTAACATATCGTTGTACAATGTGTTCTCTGTAAATATACTCGTAAAACTATGCATTGAACATCCCTGAAACTTATATAGCAAATACATTAAGCAATATTCGCCACAAACTGAAGTCCTATCAACATTCCAGTTCCATCTTTTAAACACATTACCTAATTTTGTTAAAATTTTTATTTATAAAATACAAAATCTTATTACTTATTATCTATAAAATAGGAGCGAAACATCTCATCCACTAACATATCGTTGTACAATGTGTTCTCTGTAAATATACTCGTAAAACTATGCATTGAACATCCCTGAAACTTATATAGCAAATACATTAAGCAATATTCGCCACAAACTGAAGTCCTATCAACATTCCAGTTCCATCTTTTACAATTTCGTACAGGTGCCCGTCCATATGAATCAAAATATTCACCGACGTCATTCGTATCGATATATAAAGCTACCCAATGTGACCCTGGTTTATCATCTGTACCCAAATTGCATATTACCTATCATAGGTCATAAATTCTATCACATGTTTAATGTAAAATAATTGAAACAAGTTTATTCATTATGTAACCATTTATATACCAAAATGAACTTAACAAAACATAGATTCTTATGACACTATAGTTTATTCAAAATGACCTCCGTAATTTTGAATACAGGCCTTCAATCTGCGCGGCCAGTCGTCTATCTCACCACGAACGAGGTCCATGTCATATCGGCGGCTGCCTTAATTAAAGATGTCTTGAGTGACTCGAAATTGGGATGAGGCTACACGCCTTTTCCTCCAAGTGTTACCATATCTTGTAATCTAACGGATTCAAATCTGGACTGGTCTTTGTGTCGGATGAAGTCGCTTTCACGCGCCGCCAGCCGGTCTTTTTTTTTTTGTTTTTAAAGAATGTTACCTCCACACTAGGTTTTTCTCCTGTATCGTGGGGGCAGTTTACAAACACAAATTTCACAAGGACAAACATCCAAACTCGGAACAATTACTTGTAGGTCGTACAAATACTTGTTCCGTGCGGGATTCGAACCCGCGACCCCCAAGCGCAGCCACTCATTGCTAAGCCACTACGCCACGGAGCTGTCAAAAGTCTTGTGTGCTCTTCGCTCTATGAGCTGACGCCGAATCTTGTTGGAATACCCAGTGCCTGTTATTGAACATGGTATGAGAAACAGGTTACACAAGGTTCGTCAGGACTGTATTTTGATACACAACTGCATTCGTTTTTAACCTTTCTCACAAAAATGTACCTCTGTTAAGCCCCAATAAGAAACTCCCAACCATACCATGAGCGAGGATGGAAAATGACCTCGTTGGACACGCGGAATACGGTTGCTCGCTTCTTCACTACTGTGTGCGTACACCTTATCATTTTGTTTGTTGTAGCTCTCTTCTACGGTAAAAATTTTTTTATCCGAAAAAAGAATTTCCCGATATTTTTTTCCCGCGTACCGCTTCACCAAAGCGCGGCATCTCTTCAGTCTCAGATCCATTAGACGAGCATTCAAACGATGTCCTGTTTTTCTTCGATATGCCCGAAGCCCTAAGTCTTCATTTAACGCCGTGGTTCTGCTTAACCCCATCTGAAGGGCCAACAGTTTCTGCTTACGTTTGGGATTTCTTTGAATTCGCACCTTTACAGCTTTTATCACTGCTGGAGTCCTAACAAATCGAGGGCGACCACTTCTTGACCTGTCATCTACACTAGAGTCTTCATTGTATCGTTTGATGGTACGATAAACGAATCTTTTGGTTATATTCAAATTTTTCAGTATATCAAAAAATTTAATTGGCGCGTAATCGCAACTGCAACACGGACTTTTTTAAGCGTCCACTCCATATGTAAAAATGAGTAAAATTCTAAAAAGTATACAGTTTTATTTTCATGAACAATTCGAATTCAATAAACTTTTTTGTGGCCAGCATTCTAAAAGAAAAGTTTTTACTGTGTGACAATACTTATGACCTGACTAGGTATATACGTCGGTACGTGGGTGTACATGGGCAGTCTGTAGCAGCATAAACATTATTTTCTAGACTGGGGTGAATCTTTTTCAGATGTTGTTGTACATCTAGTGTATCCATGATATTACTGCTATTAGTAGATTACTACAGTACAATCTACTCAATGACTAACATAGGAATGATCAATTATGTGATTTCTAAATATTAAATTGCATTTTTTCTGTTATACAAAACGTATTTGAGTCATCAATACACTGAATAAGACGCAACACGAAGAATGTGAGATAAGGTTGTTGACGCATAAAGTTATTATCAATTCTACTGTAGAAATTCTTTAG